AAAATTTCTTATAACATGTTTAATCATGGCATAATAGACGTAATATCAATCTAAAAACAATAGTGCCATGATTTAATACGTTATAAGAAATGTTATAATGCCGTGAAACGCTAAAATAATCCTACAAGATGCTTAGGTAAGCTTACAATGTTGATTAGGAGTTATTGAATTGTTATGGCATGGTTATGTTTATGTAATCTGCTCATCATTGCTGCACCCTGGTGTTAGTGCTCACTCGGGGCGAGGGCTAGTCTTTCACGTGTATGTTCACCTCTACACCGCACGCTCGCCTTGGATCCAAGTAAGTGTCAGTCATGTCGTACATGTTGCATTAAGCAACTCCGACTCGTAGGTGACCGTGATTATCACTAGTCTTCACGTGATTGTAGCACTAGAGCATACTTATGCATTACACCCCAGTCATGTTCATGTCAGAAACTATCTACATGAACTCATTGCTAGCGTAGATTGATGAGCAACCTGTTTTCATTATGCTATTGTTGTGATATCGTAGTTTGGCGTATTTCTAGCATTATTATTATTAAGATATTGTAGTTTGGTGTATTCTGGCATTATTATTATTTACTGTTGTTTTCAAACTTATACGTAGTATGATTTTTCAGGAAACTATACATGTTTTATAGCAAGGGGTTAGCATGTTCTGAAAAATAAATGTGTTTTATATACCTTTGTTTTTGTTCCCACTCACCCTTCTGTTTTTCACCCCTCCAAGTCCTAGATAGCAGAATTACTCCGTGGCGTACGAGGATTAGCCAGCAATTTTGACATATCCCTATTTAAGTGTAGGAACTTATCTCGTTGTGTACTAAGTACTTAACTAGTTTTGATTGCACGCTCTTTGTCATCTATGCTCTGAATATTTGCATTTTATGGGTTCTATCCACTAATGCGCACTCACTTTAGTAGTTTAAATAAGTTCTATTTTCGGTTTTAATTTATTCACATTTTTACATCACTTATACTTTTGATTACGTCACCTTCGAGTGACAGCCAACATCCCTCGACTCCGGTCGGGGTATGTCAGTAGGGAGCATTGCATATAGAGACAAAAATATATACAATATTTCAAGGAATTTCACTACTTTTTATTTCAAGGAGAGAAAAACACAAAAATACCTAAAGCCCAGCTCAAAAAACATGGAAACAATTTTTTAAAATACCTGCCTACCCTTAAAAATTATGTTTGTTAATACAACCCAATTCACACAACTTGAAAAAAAATAATTTGTGCCATCAACTCAACCTCTCATCGATCATTTTTGCAAGATCACTTTGTAAAACTATACGTAGAATTAGTTTGTATCCTTTATTTCTAGAATTAGTCTAACCCCCTCCTCAACCATTTTTGTAAAATCAGTTTCAAATGTATGTGGAATCTCTTTTGTATACTTTTTAGTAGAATCAGTTTGTATAAATTGAGTAGAATCAGTTTGTATATTTTTAGTAAAACTGCATACATGGCATAAGTACTACCTGCCCTCAACCACATAGGACTTTTAATTTGAGTAGGATTTTTAACCAATCTCGTTACGCCATGTATCATTATTCAAAAGGACAATTTTTGTGGATAGATTTTTGAGTGAATTTGTAACCAATTCTGTAACACCACGTGTCATGCTCCTGTAAGAATTTTGTGGATAGATTTTCGATAAGATTTTTAACCAATCTCGTCGTTCTACGTTTTACTATCTGTTTAGAATCCTTGAGAATAGATTTCGATAAAATTTCTAATTTACACTAAGAGAAAAAAAAAAGAAAAAAAACAATGACATCATCTTCCATTTAAATTAACTTTTATATCTCCTTAAAATGTTGTCTTAATATAAAATTAAGTATTAAAAATTTACGTTATATGTAATTTTTCCTAGATAGTAGTATGCCCATTTTTTTGCACCTGAGTTCAATTATTGCCTCCCTGTAGATTAAAAGAGTTTAATATTTTCCTTTGTTACAAAAGTTATTTTATATTAAATCATCTATATTTACAAATAAGGATTATTACAAAAGTTTAATCCCCTTTCTTTTTTTGTCTTTTATGTTCACCTATTCTGCCGTGTTTCCGCCTCCTATGCATTTCGATATGTCCTCCTCTTCTTATCTTTCTGACATCCCTTTCTCTTGTTCATCCTGGCTTCGATCTCCTTCTTTTGAGATTCGTTTTTTAGCCATACTTTTCTCGAGATATGTGTGGAGTTCCGATTCTTCAACCGACTCGAGTATACCCAACATCACCACCTTATCTCTGTTGTCTTACCGCTTTTGGCAATGTTGCTCATGATTTTCCATGGGCTTCTTTCTCTTGATAGCCACTTGATTTCTTTTAGTTGGTTATCTCTACTTTGTGGTTACGCTTGGAGAAGCTATTCAAGTTTGGATGATGAGTTTGGTGAGGTGATGCTCGGTGATGGGCAATAGATTTGAGCAGATCAAGATGTATTGTTTTGGTGAAGGTGGCTACAGTGAATTTCTCGGTTTTGTGTTTTTTGTCATTGGGCCTTAGCTGTTTGGCTGCGCTCTTGTTGGATTATCAAGTTGGCCATTTTTTTTGCTTGTTTATGTTTCTCTATTTGTGGGCCTTTTGTATGTAATTTGTATCTTTGATTAAATCTTCCTTGACCCAAAAAAAAAAAAAAAAAAAAAAAAAAAAAGAAAAATATACTAACTCAATGTTATATCGTTAAAAGTCGGATTTCATAAATCAAAATTGATTTTAATAGCTATCTACTTGAGAAGTTTATGGTATATAAGACATGAACTTTAACTGAAATAACTCCAAATTTTAAAACTTCAAATACATTTATTTTTTTTAAGGGCACTTATAATGGAAAAAATGCAAATTTGAGATGCAAAATACATTTTTAGCAAATATGGATAAAAGTTTTATTCTAATGAGTGGGATGTAAATTTGAGATTCTATTTAATTTTCTCTTTTTGATTAGTGGGACACACCACCAAAAGATATATATATATATATATATATATATATAAAATAAAAATGTAAAATTTAGGTTTTTATTTACATCTTTTGATGAAAATGGATAACTTACATTTCACCATTCGAGAATTTTTGGCAAAGAAAATATGTAGAATGTCAATTTCAAGGCATTTTGCATCTCCCATTGGAGACGCCCTTAATAGTTTTTTGACATAATTGACAAAAAAATTATTTGAAGTATGATTTAGCTCTTGCTCAAATAATATACTACTTTTCATGTTGAAAGAGGGTGTCAAATTTAAATTTTCAGGATAATAATAAAGAAACAACATATTTTAAATTGATTTATACCTTGCCAACTTAGGCCATCTTTAATTGAAGGAGAGCCAAAGGCCATGTTTAGCCCTATAGCCCAACAGGAAATTATATTTTAATGAACAGTGTCAGGCCATATTTTATACCATCTCCAATTGAGAGGGCCAAAGGGCCATAGGCCAAGCATCGCCCTTTGACAAAAAACTCATCTCCAACCAAGGGGGCCAAATGGCCATAGGCTAAACATAATCACCTCAATAATTTATTATTTTAATTGAATTAATAAGGTTTTTAGACATATTTTGAATGCCACTTGCCACAATAACGAAGAAAGAGTGGTATTCTAGCACTTGCCACAAAGTCAATTTTGACATTCTGGCGTTGGAGGGCTGGCCAGTATTCTTGCACCTACCACAAAGTCAATCTTGACATTCTGCCATTGGAGGGTTGGCTAGAAATAGCCAGCCCACTAGCCTGATTTGGGGATTTTGGCCGGTGGGGTCCATAAGCCATTTGGCCTAACCTTTGGTTGGAAACTGTTTTCATGTCATTTTGAGTTATTTTTAGCCTTACGACTCTTTGGCCACGTCGGTTGAAGATGACCTTAAATATCCTAGATGATAGCTCTTGAACTGAACATGTATTAAATAAATTAGAAGTGACCCATAAGATTTTGTAATTCATTTCTTAAAACCTTTGTCTCAATCCCTTCACTTTCACTTGAACACAAAAATTAATTTTTTTTTGAACAAACGATATTACTTACATTGAGAAAAAGGTTTAACCTCACAATGGGCTAGCAATAATGTGGTTCAAATTCCCTTTGGCGAGAATCAAACCTAAGACATCTCATATACAGAACTAAATGGTAGGAATTTAATTAGTTGGTTCCAAGAAAAATAATTATTAATGGGTGGTTTAACAGAAGTGGTGTAAACGAGTGAATCTGTAGTGACACACAAACTAATAATAACATATTTGGTAAGCGTTTTTTTTCTTCTTCTTTTATTACTCTTGACTTCCGCACATGCCATGCAAGTGCTCGGTTGTGAGGGAAGTTATTGTAGTTGAAGTTACCAAAAAGAGTAAAAATAGGATGTTGGAAGCAAGTGCGAAATTACAATTCACCCTTATTTATTAGAATTACTAGCAGATGCCCACACACACCATGTGAGCAATCTCATCTCATTTTGTTTTTCTATTATTAAGTATGATTAGTTTGTGAAATTTTTAAAAACAAAATCAGTTATGAAAATTGGGAAAATGATGAGCAGTTTTTTATTTTGTATTTTTTATTTATAAATAGAGTATGATATGCTAACCTGATTGTGAGGCTGGTGTAAAAAACAGTAAAAATTTATGTTTATGTAATTAGTAAATTGAACATTTTTTTTTTTTATTTTTGCTCAGTTTTGATGAGGAATTAAAATAGCAATTTCATAGAATTTTGATTGACAATCATAGTTTTATTGATAAATAGTTTAGATTATTAAACTCACTTAATAAGGAGATGTGACGGTATAGAAAGATATATATTTTTGTGCTAGTCATATGATATGGACAATATGGTAATTGGAGATGCACAACTTGTAAGATAATAAAGGGCACTAAGGGTAAAATGGTAAAATAGGGATGGCAAAGGAAATGATTGGGTGGGAGGGGATGCATTGGAACCGAGATGCGCTGGAAGCCTATATAAAAATATCAGCCTAACGCGTAAACCCACAACTTTTCCTTGTTTGTCTGAAACACTCTCTCTCTCTCCTTGCTCACTAATTTCGAAGAGAACAAGAAAAACAAAGAAAAAACAAATCAAGGATCAATGGCGGATCAACTGACCGACGATCAGATCTCTGAGTTCAAGGAAGCCTTCAGTCTATTCGACAAGGATGGAGATGGTTAGACTCAGATCTCTCTCTCTTTTCTACCCATTATTTACAGTTATATTATGCGTATTATTTACATGTTTTGATTCCTTCATCTATGTCAGATCTGGGTCTGGTGTTTTCTGATTTAGGATCTAATCTTTGCATTGAATCTTGTTGTAAATGTTGTTTGCGTTTTTAATTTGATTTATTTTCGGAGAATTGTAGATCGTCGATTTTGATTTTGATTTTGAAATTCAAATTTTATTTTTTATGTTTTGTTTCTTGAAATTATTAGCTAGCTGGGTATTTGGAAATTATAAATCAGATTGAAAAGAGCGTTGTGGTTTGATCGATTCAAAATTTCAAATTTGAAATAGGTTCAATCTCGTGTTTGAATGGTATTAGGATGGGTGATTAGTAAAAATGGCAATTTATTTCGGATCTCTGTGATATGATACACTTTGCAACAAGACCCAGTTGTTATAATGCCAACTCATATCAAGTTGCATAAGTATGTGATATAGGCAATTGATTTCTTTCTTGCGGAATTATGTGGCGTTCTGCGATGCAGTATTTGTTGGATGCTCTGATGTGTTGTAATTTCTTACGATTTCCATGTTGGGCTGATACGTGCTTGGGATGTGTGTGTTCGTTCTTCATTACTCTTGCTGCTAGGAAATTTAAAATAGGAAAACTAAACAAAATAAAGGATAAAATGAATTGACTTTTTAGTGTAAAAATATGGTTTTTCGTTAAAGTGAACAGTACCACTGGCTTTTTGTTAAAACTACCATGATTGACTTTTTAATGTAAAAATGTGATTTTTCGTTAAAGTGAACAATACCACGGGCTTTTCGATAAAACTTCCATTTAAAATTGATATGTGTTGTTTTTTTAATAGGTGATCCTAGTTGCTAATACCATGCTTTTAAATGTTTGTTTGCGCCCATATGTGTATTGCACAACGGGTGTTTTGCATTTAGATTGTTCTTACTAACATCTGTGTTTTTTTACTTTACGGCTTTTTATGTTTACGCGGTGAACTAGTTCAAAATGGGCGCTGGTTTCCAGTATCTAGAAGGATATGAATGCCAATAATTTTCTGTATCTCGTCCCAAAGTCTGCATTTCTTGTGTTTCGTGTTGTGCTTATTCTAGAGTTGTTACTATTAAGCATTTGGATGCGTTAGTTGAGTTCCTCATAAGCAAACGTCTGCTGCCCAAGCAAACGACGCAACTTATTGCTGTTTCTAATAATTTTGTTATGCAGGCTGTATCACAACTAAGGAGCTTGGCACTGTCATGAGATCATTGGGGCAGAACCCGACTGAGGCAGAGCTCCAGGACATGATCAATGAAGTGGATGCTGATGGTAATGGGACCATTGACTTTCCTGAGTTCTTAAACCTCATGGCCAGGAAGATGAAGGACACGGACTCTGAGGAGGAGCTGAAAGAGGCTTTCAGAGTGTTTGACAAGGATCAGAATGGCTTCATTTCAGCTGCGGAGCTCCGCCATGTGATGACCAATCTTGGGGAGAAGCTCACAGATGAGGAAGTGGATGAGATGATCCGGGAGGCTGATGTTGATGGGGATGGGCAGATAAATTATGAGGAGTTTGTCAAGGTGATGATGGCTAAGTGAGATGCCACTAGTCGAACCCCAACTCACTTATGAACCAAAGAAGAAAAGGGGAAGGGGAAGAGGGGGAGAACATGTTTAATTTTAATTTGGGATTCCTAGCTTCCATTTTTATGTTATGGTTTTTGTAATCAAGCCTTGAAAGAGTATTAGACTCTTGTTGTGGAGGTGGTGTGGTCTTTTGACAATGTTTTGGCAGTTCAATTTGTTTTTTATTCTCACTTTACTTGTTTCCATTTTATTGTTTATTGGTAACCTTTTAACCTTGCGGGAGGATTCATTCTTCTATGCATTAGGGCGTTCATCACATGGCTTTAAGGTCTGAACTTCGGGAATTTTCTACGGAGTTCTGGAGTATTAGATATTTTGGATCTTTCAACAGTTAGATCATTGGTTAAAGTCACACAAGTCAAGATTCGATAGTTAAAAACACCCGGGATATCTTCTATCACGGAACATCGTTGAAGTTTTGCTAGATTTGGAACCTATTTTGACATCCGTGATGAGAATTGAGAAACCACACCCGCCCCCCTCCCCTAAAAACCAAAAAAAAAAAAAAAGAATCCGGGAAATTGTGTATTTATGGCTGGTAAAATGCAATGAATACGGGACATGATGCACCGCATTGCCCATTACAGGTTCAAAAACATGTTGGAACTTCTTGTCTTCTCCATAAGTGAGGGGCAAAAATGGGTTATGGGGCAGTTGCACCTCACTTTGTAGTGCTGGCATATCAGATTGAGCTTTCTCATCAAATTCTGATGCTTGTTTTGGCAACAAGTATCATGACCAACTCTAACCAATTCTCTCTATGAAAAAGGGAACCGTTTTGTTTTCCCATCCTCCATTGCATTGGTGGTAGAGGTGGCAATGGTGGCGTATCTTCCAGATTGACCACAGTAGCTTCAGGGTGCAGGACTGATCTAAGAAGGGTAGAATCTAATGGTTCCAATGTTTTTCTTCATAACATCAAGTTCCTAGCCAGATGATTGGTAAGAATTTTGATGTTAAGGGTGTTTATTTGCTTTGTATGTAATCCTTGATTTACGTATTTTGGAGAAAGGAAAACATGACTTGAAATTTAAAAACCACGATGAACGATACATCGTATGTACCTAGATATAGAGCGGAGAACAGAGACCCTTATGTGGCCGCGCACCGCCGCTTCGCATGCTTGAGCACGGCAGTTGGAAGATCCTTGCCACCTGAGCTTCCAGGTGTCGTTGCCCAGTCCACAGCCATATAGGCTCACGACAAGCAGGTGTTATCCCAACGAGGCAATGACGTGAGTCTTGGATGACCCCACCATGCAGGAGCTCAGCATATGTTGCTCAGGCCATTAGATCCAATCCAACAGGCCCGCGCGTAGCAGGCCTAGTGTGATTCCAGCCTGCCCCAAGGCTAAGTTTTCCGACTCGTGTTCCAGCGTACGCTCCAACTTGCTCTAGAGACCTGGCCGCTCAAGGCCACTCGTAGACCAGTTTAGTTGAACTAGTCGCCGTTCTCGATACCGAACCCAGCCCAGGCCGGACTAACTGGCTTGACCATTAGACCATCGACTAAATCAGGGATTTTATCACCCTGTTTTTGGTTCATTTGACCTATTCCAGCTCAAATTCACATCTGCTGTTATTACATTTCCACCACTCTTAAAGATGCTTATCAACTGAGCTCTTCCTCCCCGAATGGCGATCCACTCCTATCTTGGTGGGTTATAAACATGACCAACGCCCTTGAGCGGTAAACCACCTTGGTGAATCAACTCCTTAAACACATCGTGACACAATACACTCTTGACGAGGTATCTCGATGTGCTCAAGGAGTTGATTCACCAAGGTGGTCTGCTGCGTGAAGGCGCTGGTCATGTTTGTGACCTACCAGGATAGGTGTGGATCGCTTTTTGGGGTGGAAAAACTCGGTTGATAGGCGTTTCCAAGAATGGTAAAAGTGTAATGAACAACTGGTACAAATTTGTGCTAGAATGGATCGAATCAACTGAAAAACAAAGAGAGAAAATCTCGATTTAGTCGCCGGTTTGACGGTCAAACGGGTTGATTCGGCTTAAGCTGGGTTTGGTACGGGGATCATTGATTAGTTCTATTGAACCGATATGTGAGCAATCTTGAGAGTTAACCGGGTCGCTAAAGAAGGTCAGGGAGTGGGCTAGAGCGTGGGTCAGCAAACTTGTCCTTGGGGTAAGTTGGGCTCGCTCTAGGCTTGCTTTACGCGGGCCTATTGGATTAGATCTAATGGCTTGAGCAGCATGTGTTGAGCTTCTACATAATGGGCCGTCAAGGCTTCATGCCCTTGCCTTATTGGGATAACGCCTGCTTGTCATGGGCCTGCATGGCTGTAGACTGAGCAACGACACCTGGACGCTTAGTTTGAGCTCTAATCTCTTGGGTTTGGGCTGTTACGATGGAAGTTATGGTAGTCAGCGGTGGTGGCAAGGATCTTCCAACTGCCGTGCTCAAGCATGAGAAGCAGCGGTGCGCGGCCACATAAGGGTCTCTGTTCTCTGCTCCATGTCTAGGTACATACGATGTATCGTTTGTCGTGGTTTCTAAATTTCAAGTCATGTTTTCCTTTCTCCAAAACATTCAAATCAAGGAATACATACAAAACAAATAAACACCCTTAACATCAAAATTCTTACCAATCATCAGGCCAGGAACTTGATGTTACGTAGAAAAACATTGGAACCATTAAATTCAACCCTTCTTAGATCAGTCATGCCTCCTGAAGCTACTGTGGTCAATCTAGAAGATACGCCACCATTGCCACCTCTACCACCAATGCAATGAAGGATTGGAAAACAAGACGGTTCCCTTTTTCACATAGAGAATTGGTTAGAGTTGGTCAGGATACTTGTTGCCAAAATAGGCATCAAAATTTGATGAGAAAGCTCAATCTGATATGCCAGCACTACAGAGCAAGGTGCAACTGCCCCATAACCCATTTTTGCCTCTCACTTATGAAAAAGACAAGAAGTTCCAACATGTTTTTGAACCTGTAATGGGCAATGCGGTGCATCATGCCCCGTATTCATTGCATTTTACCAGCCATATTTAATACACATTTTCCCAGATTCTTTTTTTTTTTTTTTTGGTTGGGGGAGGGGGTGTGGTTTCACAATTCTCAAAACCATTTTTATCGTTACCAGAGGTATCTCATGGTAGGCAAAGGAGAAAAAGTTAGGACTGGGTCAAATCCATTCACTAGACCAAGCTTTGAATGTACGACTTTTACACGACCCTGAATCTTCGGATTAATACCATCTGAGGTTTTTTGTGTGTTTCACAAAATTGCCTCAGATTTTCAACATATCATAAATACCCCTGACGTTTTAAAATCATTTCACAAAACTCATTCCGTTAGGGTTTTGTTCGTTTTATGCTAACATCAATATAAAATAATTTTACAATGACAAAATTAACCTTATATATATTCCAATTAGAAATATGATATTCCACTTGTAACCAAACACCCTAAACATAATATTTCCCATCTTATACCACTGAAACGTAATATTTTCCCATATTATTCCAGTTAGGCCGGTCTCTCCATAGCCTAGCGGCTTTGAGTTTCACATGAGATCCATTGAGTGATCAGTTCGACAGGCATAATAAGATATATTGAATTCGAATGGCAGTGAGCTTCAAACATTGAAGCAATGTACAATTAAAATGAAATTTAACATTGCAGATTTAAGAACAATCCAACACTCAACAATATCCAACATTTAACGATCCAATATTTTCATAACAGATTGCAATAATTCAAAATAAAACTTAACATGGCAAATTTAAGAACAATGTACAACCAAACATAATATTTCCCATATTATACTCAAATTCTAAACTAAAAGTCAAATTCTAATCTCTTGACTTGGTTCAGAAGGTTGACTTCCAATTTCTTGGCTTGCTGGATGAGTGCCATTAATTTGAATTCCCTCATTTGAAACTATCAACAGAAATACCAAAATCAAACGAAATTATGAAGAATGAATTCATATGTAAAAACTAAAAACAAAAAAAAAAAAAAACAAAAAACAAAAAATCACATTGTGGTATCCAGTAAATATGCAAAATAGATTTTGACCTCCTTTCCTAGTGTCGCCAGTTCTCTTTGGTGCATCAACTCCTCAACTTGCTCTTCTCGTTATCCATCTACTTCCGCTCCTCCTCTTTGCATTGATTCAAGATTTCCTTTTGGGCACCTTTTTTCTATTATGACACAATGTACCACAAATTTTAAATGATAATGCACAAGATCTCTTTCTCTTTCCTCCATTCTTACGTTCTCCGCCTCTTTTGTCCTATTTTTTGTGGGCCGCCCGCGAGGTTTCCTTAAGGGTGGGGGATGAACGGCGTTATAAGGGCCATTCGCCCAGTACCTCTCATTTGGAACAGGGTGAATATGATGATGATGTGGTAGAAACTAACACACAAATTAAACCCTATAAATTATGCAATCGTAGTATGAGCAACTAAGGATCGTTCTATTCCGGGGATTAGAAGGGATGCTAATCAACATAAGCTAAACTTATAAAACTAAAAACTAAGTTAAACTAACAACAAAACAATGAAGGGGGAGGTTTTTTGGACGAATTATGACTTAAAACAAGTAAATTGAAGAAACAAATTAAGTTTGGTACGAAAATTGGGTGAAAGCCTAGCTAGAGGATTCTTCTCCACACATAAAACATATGCATACAAATCGATTTCCAATTATTATTCCTATAAATCATGAATAACAATGCCCCAAATTAATCATGAACAACATTAATTAACTCTCAAATTTTCCTAATTTCATTGAATTGGATTCAGCGATGCAATCAAATTATTCTTATCAAGTTCCCTATATGAATAGCATGATAGAGATACATATCAAAGATCATTAAGTTCTATGAAAATCATAAGCATTGACAAGGCATTCGTAACTATGAGCTGCATGATACTCCTGCCAGGAATTTACTTAATACAATCATGACTAGTGACCTTTACTACTTGTAAATATAAGTTCATAACGATTATGTGAAATTCCCTTATATTCTAGCATCAAATCCTTGCATGCAAACTAAGTGTGCACCCTTAATCAACACACAAGAACAAGTTCTTAATAAAATAGATAAGTAAATCGCATTCATGTTTTATGAAACAATAACTGGATGTAATCAATTCATACAAAACATATGTTCATGGCTTCAAATTCACCTCTA